CGGACCGGTCTCGCCCTGGATCGGTTTTTCAAGGGTAGTGTAAATGGGGCTTATGCCTATAGCAGCAGAACTATAGAGATAGCTCAGGATAACCTGAGCCACTCTAACTATAAGCTTTATCAAAAAGGAAAGTTTTAAGCCTAGCCTTAAAAGTAGATATGGGTGTCTGCCTCATGGACTAAAACTGGTAGTTGGTTCCACAGGAGAGGAGCCTGACAAGTTGCACTGTGCAAGAGAGGAGAGCCCACAGCATCACCAGAGACCCCTACCACCGCCAACACCTCTTCAAAGTCCCGGGCTCCAGGACGCATTTCTGTGCAATAAAGTCATGTTGTCAATTTATTTATTTATTTGTTTGTTTTTCCATCACAATCTGAGTACTTATTTGTTATTATAATTATTACTACTTTTATATATTTTAACTGCCCTGGAGATTTTATATTTTTTAACATACATTGCGCTTCGCAATAGAAGGAATTTTAATTCTGATTTTGACTTGAGTAAATAAACTTGGGTCATTCAAATGTCAACCAGACAATTTGAAATCTCTCCTCTGCAGGGCATGCTAGGTTTTGATCAACAGGAAGTGTATCGTTAGCACTTTCAAGGTGCAACTGGCATCTTTTGCCGCACAGAGAAAGTCTTATTTTTGTTTTTTATGAATTCATCTTGATCTTGTGTTTTTTAGACCTATTTTTTTGGGGTATTATACATTATATGTTAATGAGGCTACTGATTAATGTGTGATTATAACATCCCTTAAAAAATGTCATAATTTGTTATTTTGAAAAGAATCAGCTCTGGATTTGCTTGTTAGACGACGCCTCCTTTAGTTTCTCCTGTATAAGAGTCAATCTACCCCAAGATATAACCAAGTGGAAAAGAGACTTTTGCTTTTTCAGTGTTCAACTATTTCAGGTAAGAATCATTTCATTCAACTTGTTTTTGTTTAATAATATTGAATTTGAAAGATTAATATTAAAAGAGCTAGAAGGAAACATGCTTCTGAAAGTGAAGCTTGTTGGGAACCTAAAAACGCCTGAGTAAAAAAATCTGTTTAGATTTTTTTTTATGTGATCACGACTGTGGAACATCTCAGCATGTATTTATCGTGCAGAGGACAGATTAGCTCATTAATAAAGACCCGTCT